TAAATTGAGAACGTATGAAAATACAAATTTCATTGGAAACTTCACTGACATCACAGGAACAGTTGTAGACTTACTCGGCAGTCTTCAAATAGAATCTTGCATTCTTTCAGTAAAGATAGTTCCTTGACCCAGGCTAAAAATGTATTTGATATACAGAAGTTGGACAAAAATATGGAAACTCCTTTAAAAAAACATGTTTCTTTGCTTAATATGGTGTAGGAAACCTGTTGGCATCCAAAACAGCTTGCAGTCTTCTCGAATGGATAATACAGTTCCTGTATGTTTGCCAAGGGAATATTATATACCATTCTTCCTGCAAAACGGTGGCAAGTTCAGATACGATTTGACGGTGATAACGAGAACGCACTTTCCGTTCCAATACCACAAAGGTTCGATAATATTCAGGTCGGGTGACTGGGTGGCCAGGAGATGGGACACTCATCCTCGTGCTCAGAAACCAGTCTGGACAATGTGAGCTGTGTGAACAGGGGCTTTGTGTCTTGGAAGACACCATCACCATCGGGGAACAAAGTTTTGTACCATGGATGAACTTGATCGGCCAAAATGTTCACATAACTTTGGCAATCAGTGCCCTGACACAGTTATCATGGGGCTAGCAGAGAACCACTATGGCTGCCCAAAACCATAACAGAACCCTGCCAGGTTTCACTCTTGGCAACAAGCAGTCTGTATTATAGGCTTGAGATGGCGTTCTCCAGACGTAAACTCGGCCAGAAGTGGGAATGTGAAAGAAGACTCGTCAGACCATATTACTACTCGCTTCCACTGCTTTATGTCCAGGCTTTCTGACTTAAACACCACCTTTTCCTGTTACGGGCATTAGCATCACTGATGAGTGGCTTCTCAATTGCAGCACGGCCAGCAATTCCCTGTTTATGAGCTCCCTTCTAATTGTTTTGGTACTCACAGGGTTCATAACACAACATTCATTTCAGCAGTAACTTTTGCAGCTGTGGTCCTTCTTATTTTTCGTCACAATTGCCCTTAATGATCGTCTGTCACAATCACTCAGGACACACACTTTCGTCCGTTGCTGTTGATTTAGCAGATGATGTTTTTTTTCCCTTTTCAATACGCGGAATAAATCTTCGATACAGTACCTCTTGAAACCTAACCACCTCGGCTACCTTGCTTACGGAAGCACCTACCATACGTGCTCCAACAATTTGCCCACGTTCGAAGTCTGTTAACTCTGACATAATGCAATGACAACCTCACATAACAGTACTCCGACAACACTGAACTGTTAGCACGGTTTACCGAAGTTGTATAGGTGGCGTCAGTAGTCAAAAACGCCAGCGCCACCTACATATTTCATTAAAATCAATCTTTCTTTTCAAACATGCATTTCACAAGGTGTTTCCATATTTTTGTCCATCCATTGTTTCTATGGCAGTACATTATATCAATTAATAAGCAATACTTTAGGTATCAATGAAACAGGACATGTTATCCCAATAGGATCAAATAATCTTTGGGCAGCTGATAACACAACTCTTTTAGTAATCCCCTTTTCTGGAATTTCAACCATACTGCTGCAGAAAATTTCATTGGTTTCGGTGTTTCAAGAATTACTTAGAATTGAAATGAATCTGTCATGTGTCTCTTCTACAATTTTTTCAGAAGTAACCCAGCTTCATAGTTTGAATTATGCTGAAGACATCAACTCCTTAGCTTCAGAAATACATTTTTCTGCCTCTTCTTTAGTTTCTAAACTTGTAATACAGTTGACCACATAAAAACATTCTTTGAGTTGACAAGCTGTTTGCTTCCTTTCATCCGGAGCATTCTTTAGATGGTAAGCTGTAGAGAAGCACCACATACCACTCTACAATGTTGGAGAGTGATTATTTCTCCTCATCTTGATAACGCCTTCCACCACAGAAATTAAAAATATTCCCTATCCTCTGGATTCAAACTGATCTTTAAAAATGTTTTTTGATGTCTGATGTTATGCCAATTGTGTTTTTCCAAAACTGCATTATCAATTTGGGTAACAACTCTAATAAATTTGGCCCTTTTTCTAAACAATTATTCAAGGAATTTCCTTTGGAATCTTTTGTCGATGCATCAAAAACCAGTTGAATTTTGTTGTTGTTAAACCAATTTTTATTACAGGATGATGTGGTAAATAATGTCCCTTTTTCTTATCTTTATCTACAATTTCAGTAATTCCATCCTAAACCCACTCATTAAGCACATCTTCGTATTCTCTTAAATGTTTAGTTCTTTGGTAATTGATATTAACAGTTTAGTGGCTAATTTATTCATTTCTAATTCTGGACGTCCACTTTTCCATGCCATTTCCTTTTCCTTGCTTTAATAGCTACCAAATTATTATCAATGGACTCAATTCTCCCAGTCAAATAATGCGCCAAGATAATCAGCTCTTATTAATAAACCTATTTCAGGCACATATTCTCCTGTATCACTTAAATGTATATTTTTCTTTTTCGAAATTGGATAAATATCAGGATCCTCTACACGTGAAATTGCACTGCAAATCTTCTTTTCATTGAAAACTGAAATAGTGCACTTGAAATTTGAAAAACAAGCTTTGCAATGTAATATTGTAGACATTGTGGGACTCTTGTTTAGTTTCACTGCCCCAAAAGTCCATGACTCATCATTTCTTGATCTACAGGTTTCAATCCTAGTTTCTCTGCAATATCTTTTCTTATGAAAGATCTCTGAGCACCAGTGTCAAGTAATCCGTGAACGATTCTTGACCTGTCATCGTTGATGATTTTCACAAATACACAATAATGTTGGCAAATTTTTTGGCGACAGAGGAACCTGTGCATCCGATTCAGACTGTTTGACTTGTTTTGATTGATTTATATTTGGATAAATAATGCTATGGTGTTTTTCCTTGCATATACTACACTTTAAATTAAGCTTTGCAGATCTTAGAATTGTCCTAGTTTCAAACAGATGAAACAAGCCCCCTTTTCTTCAATGTTTCCTTTTTCGTCTCCAGTGGCATCTCGGCAGCCTTAAAGCATTCTGAGGTATTTTGAAATGACTTCATCACATAAAAAAATGAACAATGCTTGCCATTTTTCTCAGCTCTTTGCTTTTCATTAGATACAATGCAAGCTGCAGTGGGAATTTTTTCTTCACTTTAAATTTTTCAAATTCTTGATTATTCTCAAACCCTGATGGAGCAAGTTATAACTGCTCTTCACTTTTGACTTCCAAATGAGGAAATTCTAATAAGTTTCTTAACATATTCATCTTGTCTTTATTTTCTACATGGCTATGCATATGTTCCCATTCCTTGATAAGAACTTCTGGTAGACATGCTTTTACTAAAGGATATAACATTGCTTCATATTTTTCAGATGAGACCCCTAAAGTCTTTAATGCTCAAAGTCGAGTCTCCAGTTTATCATAAAGAGCCTGCAAAGTAAAATTTTCGCTACTTTTCGCTTGTGTTAAAACTAGATTTAAAAGTTAACGAACATAAATTTGAATTAAGAGTTCATTTTTAGCAAAACAAGATTTCAGCAGTTCAATAGCATTGTACTAGTTTTTACCAAATGGCAGAAAACTTGCATCTAAATCTCTGGTTCATGAACCTTCTTCAGTTGCTTATAAAAGATGAAATTTGGCATCTGCATCAATGATATCATCATCATGAATTTTTTTTAAAAATTGTCTCCAGAATCCTAGCCAGTTTTTACTATTATCATCAAAACGTTTCAATTCTAACTTGGGAAGATAGAAATTTTGCATAGTTTCATTTATTACACTGGAAATATCGCCCTTTCTTTCGGTGGTTGATAAAATTAAATTATCTTTCGTTTTCATAGCAACCCACTGATTTCGATAGCTTTCCATTAAATCCATATTTCTTAGAAAATTCATCTTTATTAAAGTTTTCCATTTCTAGCCTCGTTAGTTTAATTTTTTCATCTAATTGAAATAATCTGTCATTTTTGTCATTAAAAATATTAAATACAGGTATTAAATCAATCTTACTTTCAGAACAGTTTCCACTTCTTTCAAAGAAATTGTAAAGCATCGCCGTAGTTGTGTTCTTTCCCATTTTGAATTATTCATAGTTCTTTTGCTTGGACTCCAGAATTTTAAACGATTTGAAGATAACTAGGGATTTAACATGAAAACACATTTTTGTTGCAGATATTTACAAAATTTAGAAGCAGTATATTTACAAAAACGATAGAGCTTATTTTCAAAACATAAAATTTAGAGTTGAATATTGTAGCTGGTATTACTCAAATACCCAGAGAAGTCCTCAGGACCATGTTTGTTCATCTCATACTAATTATTACTACATTTTGCACCATGCATTTAGTACATATGCTTAAAAATAAAGCAATCTATCATTTTACTAAAAAATCATAAGTATTCCTATTTTTATGCAATTAAACTGTATGATGGAAGGTGAATGATGGAAATGTTATATTAACAACTGCCATTAAAGTGTTAGAATAAAAACTGCTACCTTCTTATTTAGCAGGGTTCATATGGAGATAGGGACAAACTGCAGAGAGTAACATTTTGTATGATTTGATTTTGGATGCAATTGCCAATATTTACCAGAAATTAAACAACCTTTTTAACCAATATGATGATAACAGAAATATGTTTCGTTGTCAAAAGATGCCAATACATTGTTTACTGTGTATCAGTGCTTTCCAGCTAATATCCAATTACTACTTATTTTTTAATGACATTTCTATATATAAATTTCCGATTTTACAAATGTGCAGTCTGACTTAAACTCATAAGTTTACCATATAATGTCTGTGCAATTAAGAAATATTTTATTCCTGAGAAATTTTTCATGAGATGGTGCATATTTATTTCAATGATGTTTATGAGTTCTGGTCATCATTATGCATTTTTTAATCAATCTCTTTTGCACACATATATAAACACATGCATACATTTATTCACATGTATTTTGTTTATATATGACTATATATTACAAAATATGACTTTTTTTGCAGGCATTTCGACAGAGGCCTTTATTTGTGGATATTAAGGTATAACTTCTTTGGTTTTTTTGATTGCATTTTATCACAAATGAGTGAAATACAAACGTGATGAACTGAGTTTTTAAATACTTTATAATCTAATTTTTATTAAAAATTTATTGATTTTACACTTTTTCTAAATTTAGTACTTATTATTTATCTACAAAAAAATTAAAAGAATTTCTGCCTTAATTTTTCTGTGAGGTCATAAAATTGACAGACATTTCTATATTTATACAGATATTTGTTTCTAAATAAAGGTATATATGTCTTTATTTAGAAACAGCTGTCTTTTTAAAATTTGAAACTAATAAAGTTCATTAAGCTGTTAAAGCTCCAGTTGTCAATGTAAACACATTGTGTATTATTACTGTGCTATCATTATGTTCTTTCTGAATCGATTGGGAGTACAGACATTCATTAATAAAATTCATTGCATTAGCAAAATAATATATGTGAATAACTATGAGCAAAATGTTCATCATTCAGTAGTGCTTAACATTATTAAATTCCAATAATAATGTTTTCAGCATCTCCAGTAAAAAATATATCTTGCTAACTTTGAGAATTTTTTTATCTATTTACTTTCCTCACTCTAAATAATTTATTAGAGCTGTGAGTTCTAGTAATTTGCTTAATTTCATATTTGTGAGATTCAAAAGATTAAATGATGAACCACAGATAGATTTTTGCATGAACTCCTGATTAATGATGGAGATTATGCCCATGATTAACTCAAAATCATGGATAATTTGAAGACTTTGAATTGTTAATCTGGATTGACTGAAGTTAAAAAGATACAGGGAAAAGAAATAGATTATATTTTAATCAACCAAAAATGTTAACATCTATTTTTAAACAGTTTAGTGGTTAAAATAATTTAATTTGGTTATGTAAATTAAATCAGCGTTGAGAGCTCTCTCTCTTTCCCTTCAGCATTTGCATACACCTTCTTTCTTCCTGTTGATATTTCTTCCTCATTTTGTGGTGCATTTGATGTTTGGTTTACTTTGCATTATTCTAATATTTCAATAGAAACTGATGTGAAACCTAAGATTTATGGCTCTGCTCTTGATGTACTTTTAAGAGAGTTTAACAATGTGTACATATTCCAGATTAAGTACAGTTTAACTGTGGATAAAAATAACTACTAAATAATATGACATCATCGACTGTAATTGCCATTATCCCCCCTTTTTCCCCTTTCTGTCTTTCTTTATACATACAGGGTGTCTCAAAAATGTAGTGACAAACTTTTAGAGAGGTAGGGCATATCATAAGAATTGAGAATTGCATAGTAACTCATGACTGAAAACATCATCCTTCACTGGTGTATTAATTTACACTGATGCAGACACCTTGGCTATGAAAGCAGGAACTGTCATTGTATGCCACTTCACGAGTGCTGGGGGGGGAGACAATTTTCTCATTTGGGCGATAGCCAGCATATAAAGAGCATGCAATGGTATAAGAATGGTGAGCTTGCAGACATGCACATAGTGTTTGGAACAGCTGAGGGCAGTGGACGAGCCATTGAAAGAATGTATCGAGAATGCTTCCCAGACAGACATCAACCACATCACAGCATGTTTGCACGTGTGCATCAAAATTTGTGCTATTATGGTTTATTAAGAATTAATAGAACTAGTAAGGAATTAATAGAACTAGTAAACTAGAAGTTAATAGAAGTAGTGAACTTCTTTAAATAAATATTTAAAGAATTATTATTAAAGAGGGCAGACCACGATTGACATGTTTTGTTATTATGCAAGAAAGTGTTTTGGATCCTGTGAAGACAAATCCCAGAGCCAGTATATGGGTCGTTGCCTCATTGCATGTTTTGAATGCTAAGTCCTTACATGCCATTCATTTCTAAAGGGTTAAGTTACTGCTGCCCAATGATCATCGTGCACATGTATGTTTTGCACAGTGGTATAATTTTAATGAAAGATGCATTTAAGACACACTCGGCAGTATTATGAACAGTTGTCAGACTTTGAGAAGATTTGCATGATAGGGCTAAAAAGGGCCTGTTGGTTAAGTAGGTGGATTGGCTAGCATATTGGTGGAAGCAAGTATAGCCATCTGTTGTTCGAACCAGTAGCTCAACAAAGGTATAGTCAGCTACTGTAGTGGCTCAGCACGTCCCTGGGTCATCAATGTGCATAATTAGAAGAGCTGCCACATCTGCACCAACAAGTTACGCTATCACAGATTCAGTGCCATTTGTTGACTCGCAGGGATACTATTTCCAGAAGACTAAGTGACCCTGGGCTCGGATCTTGACATCTATTAAGATGCTTGCCATGACACTTCACCATAAGCAATGTCATCTTACATGCTGCTGCTCTAAATCAAGTTCGACAGTATCCGATTGGAGAAATGTGATCTTGAGCTACAAATCACGCTTTTCTTTGTATTGATGATCACCACATACGTGTCTGGAGATGGAGAGATGAGCAGTCTAGTGTACCATTTATTAGTGAGTGGCAAAGAGCCAGAACACAAGGTGCAACAGTCTGGGGAGCAGTCAGCTGGGACAGCCATTCGCCATTAGTCATGTTGTGAGGTACTCCGACTGCTCGCAAGTACATTGATCACATTTTGCAGCCGATAATACTGCCTATGCTAGCAGGTCATCCAGGTTTTGTTTTCCAGCAGGACATACAGCACAACTTTTCCAACAAAGTCTTTGACATGTTAATGTCCTCGACTGGCCTGCCAGGTCTTCAGACCTGTCACCTATTGAACATATTTTGGAAATATTGGGCAGGCAAATTCAGCCATGTAAAAATATGTCCCAGCTCACTGACACTTGCTCCATTTGTGCCATAATCTACCACAGAGGGGCATTGGCAACTTAATAAACTCCATGTCCAATCAAGTATCAGCTTGTGTAGCTGCTGGGGTTGACTTTATCACCTACTGATTTTCACAATCTTTGTATTGCTACTCATAAATAAAATGCTTTTTCTCATTCCAGTTTTTGATCACTTTTTATATACTTGAATAGTATACTGCCGAGTTTCATAGTTGTAGCTCAATCCTTTTTGAGTGCATGCAGTTTTTTACAACAGTGTGCATATATAGTATACTCTCAATTATCCATATGTGGTGGTGTTTATGCATGCACAAGAGTGTGTAAAAAACAAACATGTGCAAGTTTGATCATGGAGAAAGATTCTTCCTAATACAGAAACTGGAGATTTATCTAATTGTGAAGAAGTTGAGATAACAACTTAGGTTATATGTTAAAAAATTAGAAATATAAAATTCTTCAAATATGTTGATTGGGAAAATAATCTAGGAATTGTTCGATATGCGATTCAGCAGAGCCAGCCTTTCAATGTTTAAGTAATGTGAACATCATTTCAGTTGTCACAAGAATAGAAGAGGCAGAGTGTGATACTGAAAATACAAGTGAAGAAGATCCTGATAATTACATTAATCCAAAGACAGCAATAACTTCTGTCGAAACTCTATTAGACTTTGTCGACCAATAGAATTTGAATACAGTTATAAAATATCCAGTGAAATTAAATAAATATTTAAACATTCTCAAAAGCAGGGGCATTGTTTCAGGTCATGTGGTGCATGCCTGAAAATAATAATTATTTTTTAACTCATTAGTATATTAAAAACCTTATTATTTTAAATATTTCATTTATGCAAAACAGTTATTGATTTTATTTCATATCAGTAATTCAAAACAGAATTAGTTGCATGTTGTTGTGTCTTCTCTAATTCTGCTTTTGCGTGGTATCCATATACCATCATCATTAATAAAATAATGTATTTCAGGAAGGCAAAAGGAAAATTTTTGTTCCTTCATTTCTCCCGCAATATGAGATGATTAACCAGTTTTTCCCTATGTGCATGCTGCCAGCACATAGCATTCAAGAAGGAAGAAATTAATATACGTTTTTCTTCCCCCCCTGAGATATAAGTGCATTCTTGTTTTCTCTGAATGAAAATATTTATTTCTGTTTTATTGTCTCCCTGTGTATAGTGGTTAGCAGAGGCTAACTAAAAAAAAAAAAAAAAAAAAAAAAAAAAAAAAAAAAAAAAAAAAAAAAAAAAAAAAAAAAACTAGCCTGAATGCTGGGGGAAAGTTATGTGTTCTTACGTCTCCTCTTGTGCTTTATGATCAGTGTAACCTGTTGGTGTACCTTGTACAGCATTCCCCATGATAAGGCAGCTGTAAGACTGATAGGGTCAGTTATTCTTGACAAATGCATGAGAAGTATGCATCCAGCCATTAAAAAAAAAAAAAAAAAAAAAAGAGAGAGAGAGAGAGAGAGAGAGAGAGAAAGAAAACTACTACCTTTTATCCTCTGTATCATGTCTTATTATTATGAACTTACTTATTTTTTAGTTCTTTAATTATTTTACTAAATGTTTTTGATTTATAATTTATTAATTTTCATTTAATGTTTATAATATTTTAATTCATTATTTACTTAATTATTATTAACTTAATTTATCAATATATTTATATCTTTGTATTTTAATTCACTTTCATTATTTATTGCCTTATCTATTATTTTATTTAACTGTTTTTGTTTCCATTTCTGTCAACATTCTGTAGAGTTCCTGAACTTCTAATTTTAGAAATTAATTCCTGGCTGTAGTATTGGGATATGTTTAGAGCTTTTTACACACGAGTAATAAAGAATAGATCTTAGTAAACTATGTGCATTAAAATATCTATAAAACTTTTAAAAGATACCGTATAAAAGCCAGTAAAATGTTAAATTGATAGATAAATTATGTATATGCTTTCGTAAAACAAGAGCTTTCTCAATCAGTGTCCTAATTACACAAATAGATAAAATTGTATAAAATTGATAACTTTAAATAAAATTAGAAAATGTAAGCATGATTTAGCATCGATATTTTGTATTGCTTAAACTGTATGATTTTATAAATTGCAATTAAAAAACTTTATGACTACCATATAAAGAAAATAATGATTTATTAATTTGTTTCTGTACCCCCCCCCCAAAAGAAACAATCACAGGTCACAAAAAGGCGACACACAAAGAAATAATTTTTTTCCCTCCAAACAGAATGCATCTAAAAAAAATGTGAAGTAAGTTACCTATAGTGTGAAACTGTAATATGTTCAAGAAAATAAGCCACATTTTCTACTTTATTTGCACTTATTCATTCTATTAATAAGTGTGAATCTGCAAATTTTCTTGAATGCTGAGAAATTTCTTTTTTCTGATTACAGTTTATCTGAAATTTTATTAAATATATCTAACTTTAGTCCAACGAATTATTTGACCTTGAATGTTCTCTATTTTTCTCTTGAGACTGAAAATAAATTTGCATGTGTAAATAGCATTAGTGATCATAACAGAAGTGAAAGAAGTCTCTGTTTTTATCACTATCAACATCAAATATACCAAAGCTCAAATTTTATCTAGCATTAGATTGAATTAATAATTGATTAACAGTTATTGATTATACTTGAAAACATATCATAGGATGATCAGTTGAGAAAAATTAAGTTATAACTCTAGGATATAAACTGTTCACAAACTTTACCTGCAAAAATTTCTATTTCAGTATTTTTGACCTTAAATTTGATACATTTTTATTGTGTGTATTTCATTATTTTACATGCTCCCAATAATTAACAATATATTAAAACACAAATAGTATAGCTAGCTTTTGAATACATGTAATTCTAACTTCCATTCATAAATATTTTTTTAAAATTTGTTTTCAGGAGCAAATCCTGTAGGCAACGTAAAATCACTTTTTTTTTTTTTTTTTTAATAAACACATGCAGTATGCATAAAAATTGATAGTTTGGATTATTCTTGACCTACATCCTCAACATAAGCACAGATAATCGAGAGTATTCTTTATATACATTGATTAATTGTTTAACAAAATGGCAGAAATAATGCTGCAGGCGTCCGGGTTCGTAAGAGATTGACACAGAACCTGTAGCTTGATAAATTATTTCAACCAAAAGAAACACTTCATAGTTCTGAAACTTCTCACAAAAATACTCGCACAGATCTTCACAGTATCACGGAACACAATCAGTAGTTACACATCACACTAATAAGAATAAAGATAATAAGATTGCTCAGCATAGTTAAAGAGCAAAGCTCACATGGAGATATCTCAATATTTCAAATGAACGCTGAACTAACAACAACTCAGAAATCTAACTCAGAAACTCATGCTTTTCTGGGTCTTATATAATTTTCTCCCAGATGCTGAGAGATTTTTAGTACCTTCCATATCTTGAAATTACTGGAAAGCATATGGGGGCCAGATACATTACAGCTACTTGTATCATCAATTACAGTTATTCAGTTACAACACCCATTACAGTTATACAGGGACTGGACTAATATAATGTCTTCAAATGGTTGCCAAGTTTGCCGATTTCTGGTGAATTAGATGCCAAAACCGTCACCAGCTTGGGGATATCTCATCAATTCAGTGAAGTAGCCATTTACTCAACCATAAATAAGCTTGCCGCTGTATTCCTGCTTTTCTGAAAAAACTTCGCTTTTTTAGATTTTCATGTTATAATATTATGCAAATATATATATATTATACTGCAGTTTCACATATAATTTCATTAAAATTATTTACATGTGTGCAAAATTTGTAACAATAAGTTTTGGTTTTGTGTACAGATTGCTTTTATGTTGAGTTGTCATCACATCTGTGAAAGAGTCAATTTATTTTTATTTGAATTGTAGGTATATATATCATCCTTTGGTAAATAAACAGCGTACAATTTTTAGAAGGGTATATGCACTTGTTTTATCTTTCACATTTGTTTCCGTTTGGCATGGTATGGATAAACCTGTATGTGTATGGAGTACATTGAATTTTTTGCTTGTGTTTTCTGAAGTACTGATGCAATATACTTTATCCACTAGAGCTGGGAGATATTTTGAAGTAAGATAATACTTAATACAATTACATTAAAAATATTTTCATTGTATTTTAAAACAAATCTTTTATTTATGTTTCATGTTGACTTTTGAACAATTAAACTATAATATTTTCTGTTTTTAATACTTTTTGTTATAACTTAATTATGTAAACTGCTGTGACCAAAAAGTATCAAGGATGATTCCAAAAAATAAAAAATTCAATTTATTGCCAATATTTATTACATTCTCTTTAAAGTAATCCTCTTTTCCTGCAGTTCACTTGTGCCAACATTTTATCTGATATTCGAAACATGTTTTAAGATCATTTTCATGCAATTCTTTGAGGACTTCTTGTAGTTTTTTTTAAAAATTGTATCAAGAGACTCTAGGTGGTAACTATGTGACAGTTTTATTGGAAGAAATTTAAAACAGTTCACATTAAGCCATTTCAGATAAATATGCTGCTCATGGAGCTATTTTTTTGATTTCGATCAAAAATTCACGAACAGGTTACAGGTTATGGAGGACGGAGACGCCTGGTGTCTATGCACAATTTTAACACTGTTGCCTTTCGAAGGCATCAAACAATACTTGGATTCTTGTAACAATTTTGTCGGTAGAGGTTTCTGTAAAAGAAAAACAATCATAATTAATAATGTGTAACATTTTCGGAGGCCAGGATCTGCGCCCCCCAGCCGCTTCCAACCGGCAGGACTCCGGTCATCACTGAAACCCTGGCCATTTTGCAAATCAGGTGCTACAACTCCGTCCTTCGGTTAAGTTGTTTAATTTCTTAGTCTACTCAGGAACGTCGTCGGCTAGTCCCCGCTCTGCGACTTGGAAGTCATCGGAAACAACAAAATTATCTCCTTGGTCCCTTCCTTCAAAAACTAACGTGTTATTCAAAAATGGTTTCCTCGTATCTCCTGAAAACACTGTGCAGCCACTTTAATAGCTGGCGCGTTTTTTCAAAATTTGGTGTAGATGTTGATCAGCAGGAAGCCAAACCAGCAACCTGAACCTAGAAATCTTCATGGGAAGGGGTTTCCCGACTACCATAAGAGCCATTTATCTCCATTCCTCCTCTCAGCTTCCAAGGCCACACCAATGTGTCATCAGATCCACAGACAAAAACAAGGGGGGGGGAAGAAACGAGCCTCGCTCGAGGTCCCAGTCGACAATGCAAAGCTTCTAACTCAACGAATATTTTCCCCCACCATAAAATATGCTGTAGAACCTCTCCATTCTCGCCTGTCCAGCAAAACATGGTCCTCTTTTCGGGAAACACCATATGGTATATCCATTCAGCACTTCACCCCCCACATATGGTTTTTCGTTTGGGAGAAAGTAATTTTGGGGTGCAGTAAAACCTCATAAGATAAGAGTTTCCGAGAATAAATTCCAAGCCGAAGGCAAGGGGTGAAAATTCTCTGAACCAAGTGAATACAAAATTGACTTGGGGAAATTTAAAAAAAAAATGCAACTACTAATTACACAACATTATAATTCATAATAAAAATGTCAGCACTATAAAAATTGTTTCTTCAGCAGCAATTTAAGTATACACACATATTAACCAAATTGAATTACAATTACAATCAATTTTTCCTACCGCCAGTCAGAAAATATGTATTCGTTTAACTTTAAAAGAAAGAGGGATAACAAAAATTAAGTTACTTAAGGTTAAGAAAAAAAAAAAAAATTAAGCACACCAAGGTGCAGCAACAAAGGCTTTAAAATAATTAAAGTTAAAAGTTAAACAACCTTAAAGGTCAAAACAGCAAGATACAAAAACCAAAAATCTTAAGTCCCTAAACTCAAATTAAAATTAAACAACTTCAACTCAAAAAACTTTTAAAGCAACTTAACCTAAATTTAAAGTTAACAAAAGTTACAATTTAAACTTACAACCAACTTTCAACCAAAAAAAAAAAAAAAAAAAAAATTAGAACTTCAATTACAGATTAAAACTGAAATAATAAGCAAAACAACTTAAGCTTGAAAATAAAACGATTAATACATAACAAATCCTCCCCTGTTCCGAAAAGAAAAATTTTGGTTTACCAAAATTTTTCGAAAGAATCAATAGTCTCTGACTTTACAAGCACTCATATTGCAAGATACACGCTAAGTAGTAGTGACAGTGACAAATTTTTAAGAATTACTTGGAAACAAAACCAGCACTTAAACTGGGCAGAAATTACAAATCTTTAGCAAAACACTTAAGTGAAAACACAATTAACTAACCTACCAATTCTAATGAGAATCAGAATCACCCAACACTCACAGCAAAACAGAACACTCAAAAGTAAGCAACTCAAAGTATTAATCAAACAGACGGCAAAACAAGCCGGAAAAAAAAAATAATAAAAAATAAAAAAAATAAACACACAAGAATTGAACTAGTACACAGCTAACCTTACTGAACTAAACGGTGAACCCGACGAAACTTCAAAGATCAATGAATCCAATACCAAAGACGAAATATAGTCGTCTTCCAAAATAAAATCAGTAAACTACAAAGTAAAACACAAAGTTGCTCCTAAGTTGTTCAACTAACCTACCCAAACAGATACAAAAAGGTAGGCTAAAGGGAAATAACCCAAATCTCAGAACACGTAAAAATAAGAAACGACAACCAACAAGTCAATACTAAGCCTAAATGCCCTAAGTTGCAACTTAGAAAGGAAAAAAAAAAAAATTTCGATAACCTTAACTTGAAGATGAAACCAAGTTGTCCAGCCACCAAGATCTAAAAAAAAAAAAAAATATTGAGACAAAAAGGTTGACAATCCTGACAAAAACGTGAGCTGGATAAGGCCAAAACAAATAACCAATCGCGCAGCACACACAATAACAAATACACTGGATCCAGTAAATTGTACACAAACAAAACTTGTGGTGAAGAAGAAATATCTTCCTAACCCTACCAATATGTACAAAAGTGTAAAGCTCAATTACTTCTTTACAAAACCATGAGTGTCTCTAGACCTTAAATTGTAAGGCACTTGTGTAGTAGTGTCACTAAGTTGACCAGCAGAACAACGATCTTGATCAGAGATCTCTAAAGTAGGAAATATAATTCTATCTGGCACCTTGGTTAAACGATCAACATGTACTACCTGACGTGTATGTGGTTTAGAAACCAACTCTATCCTGAAGTTAACCTTTGATAACTTCTCTACTACTCGATAAGGTCCCTTGTTAAATTTACATAACTTCTTAGCCGTTCCTGGCTGTACCACAGGAGTATATAAATACACTGTATCACCTAACTCTACGTTCTTGTGATAAGCTTTAGACTCTCTCGTATTTTCTTGTTTCTCAGCTGCAGTAGTTAAATTTGTCTTTACTACTTGAAATGATTTTTGCAGTCTTATGAGCAAATCCTTTGAATACGTCTTAGTATCATCATACGTCTTAAATTTTGACTGTGTCAAAATGTCAACAGGTAACGTTAAATCTCGGCCATACAAAAGAAAAGCCGGACAATCATCCAAAGCCTGATGCTTCCCAGTTCTATGTGCTAACAAAGCAAATGGTAAATGCCTGTCCCAATCTTCTTGTGTTTCAGACACCAAATGACTTAAAGAATTGATGAGTGTACCATTTAACCTTTCCACAACCCCATCTGATTGTGGGTGATAACTTGTAGTGGTGTGTTTACAAATTCCAATTTTTTTTTATAGACATCAGTTATAGCTTGTGAAATGAAATTTGTACCTCTGTCTGTAATTATATGCTGTGGCACTCCATGAGAAGCAATAAACATTTCCAATTTTTCAATTATTGTTTCAGACGAGCAATTTTGTAAAGCATAAGCCTCAGGCCATCTAGTGAAATAATCAGTAATAACCAAAATATATTTATGTCCAGAAACTGTCAAAGGTAGAGGGCCTACAGTATCAATGGCAATACGTTCAGTTGGTCTATTAGCTATTGGAACTGTCATTAAAGAAGCTTTCTGTGAAGCTTTAAAACCTTGCTTCTGTATACATGAATGACAAGACTTTATGTAATTTAGAATTTGTTTATGCATGTTCTTCCAAAAGAAAGCTTTCTGAATTCTATGAAGTGTTTTATGAAACCAGAAAATTTTTGGAACTAATGTTTGTGGTACAACAATTCTATTTTTTTTTTTTTTTTTTTTTTTTGCCAACATGCATTAGGATTCTTAAATTTACAGTACAAGATATCATTTTCAATTGAAAAAATTTGTGAAAGAGGTTTTGGAGTTTTATTGTTTAGTAATTCTTCTTTTATTTGTTTACAATAAGGATCTAGAGCGTGTTGTTCTTTAATGGTGTGTATAAGATCAGGTGTAGTAGAAGTTTGTATTTGTTCAGCTACATTGACAGATCTGGATAAATAATCAGCAGTCGAATTCAATTTCCTGGTTTATGAACAATTTTATAATCATACTGAGACAACCCCATTATCCACCTGGCAATCCTAGATGTTGGATCTTTTAGTTTTAACACATGGGAAAGTGAAGCCTGATCACAATAAACAGTAAAACTTTTGCCTAAGAGATATTGTCTAAAATGGGCAGTCGCCCAAACTACAGCTAAAGCCTCTTTCTCAACTGTGCTATAATTAATTTCAGGACCCTTCAGCTTTCTGCTAGCAAAACAAATAGGGTGTAAAAATCCATTCTCATCCTCTTGACCTAAAATGGCTCCCAGAGCAAAATTCGAGGCATCTGTACACAAAGCAAAAGGTTTCTTGAAGTCAGGTAAAGCCAAAATAGGCTGTGTTAAAAGTTCAGTCTTTAAAGTATCAAAAGCCTGTTGAGTTTCATCAGTCCAACTAAAAGTTACTTTATCTTTAGTTAATTCAGTTAGTGGTAAAGCTTTGTGTGCAAAATTTTGAATAAATCTACGATAAAATCCTACAAGACCTAAAAATCTTCTCACTTCCTTCCTATTGTTAGGCACTTGAAAGCTATTAATAACCTTAAGGTTTTTATCATCAGGCTTAACTTTACCTTCAGAAACTTTAAAGCCTAAATAAGTGATCTCATTTCTCAGAAAATTGCATTTAGAAGGTTTTAATTTGAGATTATGTGCATCAAGTCTATCAAAGACAATTTTTAATTTGTTTAAGTGTTCCTCAAATGTATTAGAAGCTATAACTATGTCATCAATATAAATACCTATCTGTAAAAGGCGAAAGATTTGCCAACACAATTGACATAAGTCTCTGAAAGGAACTAGGAGCGTTTCTCAATCCAAATGGAACACGTGTCCAATGATAATGACCAGAAGGTGTAGTGAAACCACTTTTGTAGGTGTCTTCAGGGTGTATTTTCATTTGAAAGAAACCTGAGGTTAAATCCAATGTAGAAAAATAAGTAGCATTCCCTAAACCCTCAATAAGTTCAAACATGTTTGGCAGAGGAAACGAATCTTCAACAGTCTTTTCATTCAATTTTCTAAAATCTGTAACCAAACGATAATAACTACCATCTTGCTTCCTAACCAAAATAACAGGTGCAGAATAAGCACTATCACTTTCCTCTATAATTTTTGCCTCTAACAACTCAGCAATTTGTTTATCTAACTCTTGTCTTAAATGATAAGGAACTCTGTAAGGTTTCTGTCTGACAGGAATATTGTCCTTTAAATTGATATTATGCAAAATAGTATCACAACCAGTAAGTTCAGTAACTGAAGAAGCAAAAATATGCTTATACTTGTCTATGAGACTCATAAGTTCATGTTTCTGTTGTTCAGGTAAATGACTTAAGTCAAACTGACCTCCCCAGGGTTCAAACTGATCACCAGTCTCAAGACTCGTTGAAAATACTGGCTGAATATCAGGTGTACTGGCATTAACAGGAGCCAAAGTGGCTAATTTCATACCTTTGTTGATGTGTATGAAGTCAGGAGAAAAATTTGCAACCTTAATGAAAAATTCATTACTATCATGTTTACTATTGACTGAACGTGCTACACAAAATTTAGAGTGCTGATGGTGAGTGAGAGGTTCAATAAGTACAGAAGACTGTGAAAAAGGTAAAAGAGGAGATGAGACTTTGAGAATATTCTCAGAGAAAGGAGGAAGTTTATGTTTTGTCACAGAGTAGCAAAAGATATCATTAGTAGGGTTAATAGGAGATGAAGTACAATTATTAGAAACATCAGCATTTGACGTAGACTTGTGAAGGTGCAAAGGCACTAAAATGTGTTGACCTAGCAAATTAGATGTATTAAAATCAATACACAGTTTGTTTAAACTTAAAAATGTAGTTCCTAACAGTGCAGCATACTGATCAGACAAACTATCAATA